CAAACATGCACTAGTCTGAGAGCACAAACGTAAACACACCCACAGGGTAACACACACAGACCTGAGCTGTGACAACGGCGATATAGACAAGTGCTGTCATTAGAGGAGTCTCTGTGGAACTCAAATGATAACGAGCAAAGGGGGAGGATGAGAAGGGGGATGTTAAGAAGGGTGACTGTCCGGCTTTCTGCTGAGAGAGTCAGTGGTGTTAGAGAGGTCAGCTCACTGTAAGAGTCCTGACACAGGTGACTTAACCAAAGCACATCACCTCTTTGTGGTTCCTTTGTTTCTTGAAATGCAGGCCAACTAGACCCTATAGCTTATAAAAGAACTGCATTTCCCTAAACAGGATCAAATGATATTTTTGTATATATAAGTACTTCTAAACCAATGTCATTGGTTTACAGCGATTATCTATCAAATCATTTTTTATGTCTTCAAAAAAGCTGATGATTTTGACAATGAATGACTCAAGAGTACAAATTTAAGGGGAGAATCATTTTTTTTTTATCTGTGATTTTAAGAAGTACATAAGTAGTCTTTTAGATTTAATTGAAAGAAAAAGAAATTTTAAACACTTGATAAACATTACATTTCTTACATAAATGGTATCCTATCATTGTACTATACTTTAATACAAGAGCTGGGCTTTCCGAAATAAGTCTGTTTATCCAAGCACTGGATTTAATACCCCTATTGCAAGTTAAGAGATTTGAACATCTATAGCATGTCCTAATAAATTACACTCTAAAAAGTCACAGATTATTGGCTCTATAGGTGGAGCAGGAGGCAGACAAAGAAATGGCAATCATGAAAGGAAAATAGCATTAAAATTAAAAGCTAATTAGAATTGTCATATTTATTCTACAATGACACCTCTCTGTTAACCAAGGCAAGATTTTGAATTATTTCACATAGAAATTTCAAAAATAACATAAATTATAAGTCCTTTAAAGTCACTGGATCTTAATATAGTTTGTTCTCCTGTCACAGCACATGTGGCGTTATATCTCTTCTCTTTGACATGCATTGTCATTAATATGACACAAAACACTGTGTATAAAACTTAAGAAAATAAACAAGCAGCCATAAAAATACAGTAAATCATAGCCTTTAACGTCAGATCATCTTATTGGGCTAAGCTCCTTGTTTTGTGCAGCCGATTTTAATCTAGACCGCTCTTTGCCCAAAGGGGACAGGGAGCACATCAGTGCATAGTTTCACTCTAACTCTCCAACTCCCACTGTGTTATGTGCTGCAGGCTCTGTACAAACCAACAGCTTTGAATTACAATATGTCAAACATCTGTCACTAAAACATCTCTTTCATTCTCTACCATAACAAGCTGCTGTATTAACACTAGCTGATTGAAATGGAGAATCACTGCAGCAGGCAGTGTAACTCCTCTGGTTCTGATGCAAATACACAAAATTCTCTTTATGCTATATCTCAAAAGACAATGTAGCAACTGCATGGTTGATATTACTCAAGATAATATCTAAATCCTTATTGTGATCCAATCTGCTTTCACATGTTAGAAACAATCACACTGAGCACTCTGCTTGTCAGTTAACACACAAATTGCTCCCTAATCCCTGCAGATTTTGTTTCCGATGCTCTCCTGTCACAGCACACGTGAGCGTTATATCTCTTCTTATGTTAGTTACTGGCAGGTGGTTTTCAGGTAAAAAACTGTGTCAGGTGAGATCAAACACCACAACAATAGCTGCCCGTCCCCGCGAGCAGAATCCACAGCGAGCATCATCTGCAAACTTCACCTGACATGAAGACGTTTGACTCAAAAGTGCTGAAACCTGTCTTTTCCCCTCAAGCGGTTTGTCTTTATAACTGTGTGAAAATGGTTACTATGGTTGCTACCCTCTGTGATGTGCAGGCTACTATCGCCTTGCAGCTGTTTTAACATGTTTTGTTTAACCTGTCTTCCGACTGATGAAGCCAAAAACCCAGCTCTTTCATATCAAAGGCTTGACCAAGGCTCTATTTCCTAATCGACAAGGTCTGCTGGCTTTGTGGTTTTGGCTCTTGGATTATGTTTTAGCTCTCTATGTTAACACTATCACTTTGGCTTGCTAAGAAAAAAAAAACCCTGCTAGCATATCAAAAAGATGAACAGAAAAAAAAAAACTTTATAACAACAAGAAAAAGTTCTAAGTTTATTCCTGAAACCCTTTGACTTTAAATTATATAATTTTTTTTCTGGAGTTCTTTCTTTTTTTTAACTAATTCTGCACTTAATGTCACCAGGGTCAAGATTGTTGTGCTATGACTAATGAAAACCTAACACTGCCAAATTGCCATTGTGAAGCATAGTTGTGGAGGCATAATGCTGAGATAATTGGTGTTTATTTCAAGATGAGCAGTACAACATATCGAGAAATCCTTGAAGACCCTTTTCTAGAATCTGTAATAGATAAGAGACTAGATCAAATGTTCAGTTAGACAAAGATAAACTCTAAACATATTGCCAGAATGGCAATGCAATGATTTAATTCCTGGGTTTCTGACTGTAGAACTTCTCCTGCCTTTAATTGTTCTCAGGAGACACTTTGGTATTACTTGCAAAGTAAATTTGATTCATATAACTGTAACATAAAGTTCCAGACCACCAACAGCTAAGAAAATTAGTTTTTCAGGCACACATTTCTGTAGTTCATCAAAAATCATTCAAAAGGCAAGTGGAGGGAGAAAACTCCAAATTGTGAACCAAGAGAAAATGCTGATGGCAATTTAAACTTTCCAATGTTTAAATAAAGTACTAAACCAGACTAATCGCTGCCCAAGAAGCACAGTGATTACTGCCTAACATTAATGGGGGTTTCTGTGTAATCGTTTTCTCAATAGTGTGCATGTGCTCAATTTCTACATAGTACTAATGCTCAGATCATATTACATGCATTTTTTTATTGTTAAAAACTGTTACACACAAAATTTATATTTTAAAGGGTCCAGTTTTTGCCTTTACAAAAAAAGAAGAATGCCTAAAGTCTTTTAGGCATATTTATCTTTACTGTAATCTTTCAATTTCACCAATTGTTTCTTAAGAAAGTAAGTATTTTTTGTGAGCAGTTATAAGAAGGCTGTCAGTGTTGTAATGCCAATGACATTTTTTTCTGTTGGTTAATTCAGCATAAATTTGATTATGATAGCGCAATTAAATCTAGAGGAAACTCTAGACTCTAATGCGTTGCAAAACTGATGGGATCTCATCACACATGTACTTTCTGTAACACATTACAATACCTGCTGTTCTTAAGCACTTTCTTTAAATAAAAGCATACTTAAAGTTCGCTAAGGGATTGCTATGACATGGGCAGTGTAAGGTATGCTTCTTGTTTTTTAAATGACTTTAAAAAAATCAATAATATATAATAAAGTTATTTCCACGGATGTTATGCAATTTACTAAATTGTTACCCCTTAGCTGTTAAGCTATTGCTGTGCTATATCATCTAATGAATAGATAGTAGACAAGTACAAGGAAAAAAGTCTTATATTTCTCAATAGGTTCTTCTTTTGCTTTTGTAGAATAAAATTACTTCCACATCAATAAGGAAAATGCAACATTTACATTTCTCGTAAAAATAACTATATTTCTGCCATTTCTTTTTGTATGAAACATCGAAAAACTACTTTCAGATCTTGAGTTTTAGGAAATACATTTTGATATTGGTTGAATTAATTCAAGAAAGTTTTTTATTGCTCCAGATTGTATGTTTCTCCATAAAATAAACAAATATAAATAACATGTTTTATTTGTTGTAAATGTGTGTTTTTGGACTAATTTGAAAATTCCCACAATAAAGAAGTTAACTTGCAATTTCAAAACCTCCAATACATTTCTGGGAGAAGAATTTTAAAAGGGACTTTTTATCAGATCTGTGACTTTATATTCCTGGGCAACTGTTTTTCTTTCTCTGGAAAGAAAAACTGGGAGTACCAATATCAGAGCAGTTTTGGATAGAGGTGTGTACCCATTCATTAAAAGCATAAATGTTTATAATTTCTTGACCCCTGCACAAGATCTGATTTACATTATGGACAATACAAAATTAACATGGTTGAGATTGCATGTGGGATTAGGATTATCATTCTGTTAAAACATGCAATCAGTAACATCCAAGTTTTAACAATCTGACAAAAATTGTCACTCTTAGAAAGAAGAACGACATTGGCTGAAATGATCAACAAACCTATTGTCATGGATACTAGCTTAACACCAGTAAGGAGCAGAATGGTAATGATGTTATTTGCACCTGCTGACAAACAGTAGGCATGTCTTCTCTCGAGCTCCCTTAGATGTCTTTGAGGGAAGGATGGTACGGTGAAATGAGAAAAAGGTTGTGCTTGTTGGCCACCCTGACCTGTACAGTGTTGGAGTCAAGGTAAGGCTTTAGAATAATGTTGTGCACTCTGTCAAACTTAGTGCTAAAATCAATTACTTTACAGGTTAACATAGTGTTCCAGAAAGTCTCAAAATATTAACAGAACTGCATTTATGGATGGAAATAGCTGGAAACGACCTCAGTAGAATTTGTATATTATTAAATGTTCAGGAAGTATGACTTAAAATCAGGCTGTGACAAGAAATAACTCTATTCATCTGAACTTTACCAATTCTACTAACATGAGAGATTCAATGTTCAGCCAGACATACCGAGTGGCCTTGGGGATTTTATCCAAATAGTTAGTGGAGGTGTACATGCATATCTTAGCAAGTCTGGACTGGATATTGTTGTTTAAAGTCACTGCATGTGTCTCTTCTTTTATGAGTATTTCCATAAAAAACTGTGAATCCATCAATAAAAGCCAAATTAATGCATATAATGATTATTCTCTCCTTCACATTGATCCCTTTTACAACTAAAGATTTTACCCATCAGCTAATGCCAGCACATTCAGATCCTCCTGTTCAAACTAAGGTGGTTACCTGAACGCCTGTGTAGATGTACATCTATTTGTCTGTCAGGTGTCGGTACTCACATTAGTTAGGAAAGAATCAACAAAGGATTCTTGGAAGCTGGGGTGGCCTTCACAAAGAGCATCCAGGCTCCTCTCAGTGTCACCCGATCTCTTGTGTGTTTGGACGTATATGTATGGCTAGATAAGTGTGTGTGCCTGTGTAGTGGGGGGTGCTTTCTTTAGGGTTTGAGGGCGCCTCATTGGCTGCAAAGCTGGGGTCAAATGGAGGTCAGGACATGTGTGATGGATGAACCCCTCTGTCTGTAGACCACTACCAAGCCTGCATGCTCCTAGTCTTCGTTCCTCCTGTGGGCCTCTAACCCACCAGAGTCCCCTGGCCATGCTCTTCTGTTTTCACATCTCTTTATGTTCCTCCGTTTGGCACCCTGAGTTGGGGTGCCTCGCCGAGCTGAGTGGAGCTCAAAGAAAACCGCAGACAACTCTTTGAGGTGAGTTCTGATGTCAAGATGCGGACTCTCTTTTTTCTCTCCATCCAGTTACCACATCCCTCCTTCTTTCCTTCTTTTTCTTTACTCAGCATGCTTATTCTAACATTGCTGTACACACAGAAACTGCCCATATGATGTCATCTCCCTCTCTTCCTCCATCACTCTGTCAGTCCATCCATTGGAATCTGTCGCACATCTGTCAATGAAGGAATTCATTTAGTCTGCCAATCACAGCAGGGGAGTGGTCAGTTGGAGCAGATGTGCCAATACCTGGAACAGCATGATGAGTGACTTCTGTCTGTCCATGTCAATGCCTCTCTTGGTTTCTGGCTCTCTCAGTTTGAGCCAACAGACCGTAAACTACAGAGCTGGACTTTTCTGAGAGAAGTGTCTGACCTGTTTTACAGAGTCAATGCATCTTAAATAAACCTCAGAATTATGTGGAGCAGCAAGTTCTAATCTGTTAATGCAACCACAGAAAACAACATATTTACTAGCATATTATTGTCTCTTATACATGACACAATAATTCAGACTAAATGGGTGGAGAATTTGCTTCTTTGGACATTACTTTTCACAGCCAAACTTAATTGACGTAGAGGTCAAATGGACTTGATGTATGGGAAAACGATTGCGTTTCCATGCAAATGTCTTTTTCTTTTTAAAATACAACATGTGCATTTGATAGTGATATGGTCAGTCCTCACTATAGGCTGTGTGGCACACATACAGGAAAAAAATAGAATCTATCATTCAAGATTGAAATAATTGTTTTCTTTTTTTTTTATATACACGTACATATCATCTTACACCTCCGCCTGATTCTGTTTCTTCATTGGAAATATTCTTGTGCAGGTCAGTGCATGTCTTAGTGAGTGTGGGCTCTGATGTAAATACTTTTTCATTCTCAGGTCCTTTTCTCAGATCAACTCTCAATTTATTACAGGCCAAAAGCCTTTCTTACATATAAATATATATGCTGTATTTTATTACACAACCTTCTTTCTTACCATATATTTAGATATTATTTATTTGTACGTATGTATAAATTATATATATTTACATATAAATTTATATACATATTATATATTTATATTTGTGTGTGTTTAAAGCAAATCTTCATTGACGTAGTAATGTAAATACATCTACTCACAGGGGTCCTCTAACATAATGCACACACACAATGTCAAACATCAACGTTTAGTAGCTAAGGTAAAAACAGAATCAGTTTTGAAAAAAAATCTAAGCGTAAGATTGGACAAATTAGAAATTGTAATCATAGGAGGGAAAATCTAGTTTTAGAAGTCGCTATTGTTGGATTATTGTTTTGAAATTATTTTCTATTAAAATAATAATCCACCCTTTATTTTCAGTTCATTTTGAAGAAGCTTAAACTGCAACTTGGGCCTTAAGATTTATTTTTGTGCAAAGAAATAAATTAATGGCCTAAATTGTTTCATTAAAGATGATCATTATTATTATTACTTTTTAAATTGTTATTATTTATTAAATTAATTATTTTATTATTTATCATTATATATTTGGCCTCTGCTCACCATTTCAACCCATGTCCCTAAAATCAGGTTGTGTTAAATACAATAGTTTATCGCTTTACATCCTAACGATTTAAGTGTTTATTTCTCCTCAGAGCCTTCAGTTTGAGTAAAGCATCTGTCATCGTCTATATGTTTATCTCAGGGATTTAATGGAAACCATCAGGAGGGGTCAAGACGTCCTCTCCTCAAAATCTTTAAAAACCTATTTTGTTTTTGTTAATTTTTTATTAGTTTGCTGCCAATAAATTTAATTTTCATTTTTTTGTGTTTCGTTTTAAATTGGCCGTTCTAATCAGGCTTGTTTGCCCTGTGCGGAGAGAATAAACTCTAGTTTAGGGTTGAGGGGGTTAGAGGGGTGCTGTGACAACAAACTCAAGTCGTGACCGAGGATTGACCCTGCATGCACGGCCTTTTCTTTTAAGAATCAGCTGGATTTTACTCTGAGAGGATCCTGCAGCGCACAGCAGCAGTAGGGGGACATCAAGGGGGTCTGCAAGGTCCCATAGAAGGATGCAAAAGCTTCAGAGTTGCATGTTTTATGCTTCAATTGCGCTGTATTTAAATGCATTTAATTTAACCCCTCATCTGCCTCTAAGTTTGTCTGTGAATATAATTAATTTATTGTATGGGATTCAATATATCCGCATTTTAAGAGTGCCTGAAAATGACGAATTTGGATAATAAGGTGCCGTTTTTTGTTTTGTTATATTTGTTTGTTCCAATTGGTGAACTACTCATAGGCCTACTCCAGCACTAAGAATTATAATATTATTAATAGTATTATTTTCATCATCGATTCGTAGTCTCATTTTTATCCAGCTTACTTCTAAATATATTTTCTATGTATATATAAAATAACTTCTTTGCTTTTTTTTTATTTTTAAAAAATGTGCCTAGATTTAAGTTAGATTTATAACTTAAAGAGGACAATGGCGGCCTTGTCTATTTATAAATTAGAAGTTAAATATGAAATTTGTTTCTTCAAAGGGGTAAATAGAGAGAATTAATAGACTGGATTATACATTTTCAATTCAATTAACTGTTTATACTATTGCCTGATATTTGTTTTAAAATCATAATTAATGTTTTTTTTCAGTCTAAAACTCTATTTAGATATAATTATAAGCTCTAAAACAGCTTTTGTCTAATTCCAACTATATAAAATTATGTCGTCCTACGTTTTGTTTAAACGAAAGCTTATTTGGTTTCTTTCCATCAGACATTAACATTTAAATGCTGGTTATTTTCAGTTAATCGTAGTAGTCGGAGAGACGTTACAAGCAAACGGCCTCCCACCCCGTGCAACAAGTGTGTGTAAACTTTGCTATTTATATAGACACAAATAAAAATAAGGGTGTCTACAGTTACCGAATGGTTAACCTTGCCAGCGTTTTAAACAATGTATGCGCCCTTTGACATAATAAAACGCTTTACGACACGACTAACATCCACCAAACTCATTTCCTAGAGTATATGCGTGAGTTTAATCAAATAAAAGTGAAAGAGTGATATGACTTACTCGCGTTTTTTTTTTCTCCATTTGGAGCTGAGTCAGAATGAGCGGCCTTCGCCATTGACTCTCCGCAGCTCAAATACAGCTTTCTGCAGGTGGATCCAAGGTAAAGGTGAACTGCGCTCATTAATCACGCTTCTTCCAAGGGCTTTTTGCCCTTTTAAGGTAAGATGGATGCGCATCCTGCACACCAGGAATTAAAACAATCACAAAACCACTCTAAGGTGTTCCCTTTCCCAGGGTGTCAAATACAGCCGCCGACTTTTACTAACAAGCTATGGCTCGAAAATCACGTCTAAAACCATTTTTTTTTTTAGAGTCACGCTTGTTAAATGAAGTTTTGTCGGTAGATTTGCAAGTTTTTTTTTTAGAGTTTATTTTGTCATTAGGGGGGCATGATGACTCCTCCGTGTAAGTTGGTGAACTGAAGAAGTTGAACTGATTTTGTGACATCAGTCAATAGCATTAACCTCGATGTTTCAATCAATACATTTTTTGTCCTCTCAGTAAGCCGGTAGCTCGATAAGGTTGCCATCACAGAAGACGCTGACGTCCTACCTCTCGGATAAACATGCCTTTATTATGCCAATAACTGTTCACCCCTGGGACGGGAGCTCGCACGGACGCATACATTGACATGAGCGGACGGATAAGCAGACACTTGGATTTATTTATTTATTTATTTTATTATTTCTCTTCTATCCTTTTGTGTTATTATTTAGAAATACATTGATTCGATATTTGCTTTAGGTCATAGGGTTAAAGTTTTCTCTACACCATTCCCAAGATCTCCCCCACATAAAGAAAAATACAAAGAATAAAAGATTTATTCTTAAAACGCACTTTTTAATACACATGATTGACCCGTAACCGCATCTTAGGAGAAAGCACTTTACATTCGTCCCATTTGGTTAATTAGAATCGCTGATAAAAACCTTTCACAGCCCTGAAGGACCGGCTCTACAACTGATAAAACTCAGCGCCTCGCTGGTGACACATGAAGGTTTTACGCACCATGCAAATCCTGAACAGTACATTCAAACAGTCAACAAGCGCACATATAAATTAAAAGACAGGAGTAACAGCGATTTAACAGCTACTGTAACTATTTATTCACTAACGATAAATAAACGAGGTCATCTGGTTGATTGCGTGATGCCCCATTAACAGCAACCCCCGTGGCCGATGGCGCACAACTTTGGCACATTTTCGGGGTATCTGTGTGTGCAGATTTGTCACTTTAAATAGGAATACAGTAGCACTAGGTCAAGGTTTATTGTATTGGGTTGAAGTCTCTCCGCTTAGTTTTACGAATCGGATGCCACATTTTCAGACCAAATAAGCATAATTGGACAATGGTGCTTTGTGGAGACACTTTTAAGAATATGCAACAACTCTAAAACCTTTACTATTCGGAAATGTCTTAAATTGTTATAAAGTTCCACACAAACATCATCCAAAAACACATTTTAACTTTGGTATAAAGGATAACATGATCTGAGGAGGTAATGGTTGGTCCTCAGTTGGTGTAGGTGTCAGTGCCAGTGGAGGACACTGTGGAGGATGAGGGGGAGGGAGTGGTTCGTGAAGATGAGCTTGATCTTTCAGATGCTGCATCGTCCATTTTCTCTGGGATGATCTCTTCTGGTTCTGCGGTTGGAACTTTCGCCGGCAGCAGACCCTCCTTCTCACGTTTTTTCTGCTTCATCCTCCGATTCTGAAACCAGATTTTGACCTGAGTCTCATTCAGCTGCAGCGCAGCCGCGATCTCCACGCGGCGGGCGCGGGTCAGGTACTTGTTGAAGTGGAACTCCTTTTCCAGTTCTGTGAGCTGTTTGGTAGTAAAGTTGGTCCGGACCGTGTTCGCCTGACTTCCGTAACCATATTCTCCGGATCTCACTAAAGGCAAAAAAGCAAGATTTATCCATGTTGTTTGTTATTTATTACCACAAAACTTTACAAACTTACAACTTCTAGACTCCATTAAAATGAATCTAATTTTACGCAGCTGGGGCAACTTTTACGCACCAGCATATACACGTTTTTCTTGGCAAAAAGGCGCAACTGATATCCTGATCAATATATGTAATGACGTGCTAATTAAGGATTTAAAGATGCAAATATAATATTGATGTGATCACTTTGGCATTTAGTTATCTGATTACTGTGAAGAGCACACAGCTGTCAATAACACACAATAAGATTCGTCCTAAGCAGATTAGAGTTGACTTGTTGGCACACTTTTCTTAAACACTTAAGGTTTATAGACTTTTTTAGTTATAGGTTGATCAGACATTGTGTTAATTATCCCAGAAACTATGGTTGAATAGATAAAAATATATAAAAAATTAAATAAAAACATATCTTAGAGAAATGACAGCTTGAATTGTCCATTCTCTCAGTAGACATCAGTTGACTTATTTAGATGTATTTTCATGTTTTGCTCTGAGAAAAAAAGTAAACATATCAACTGCATTTGGAATGCCACTCTAACTTCTGAATACATTGCTCCTTTTAAGGACTGACTGACAAAAAAAAAATGACACAAAACTGTATTTTAACACTTAGTATGTTGTTTTTGACCAAATATTAGTATTTTTTTGGGGGGGACGCGTCGCTGTCCTTTCGAAGCCTAAGGTAATTATGATGTTTTGACTCTACCGGGTGAGTCTGTACACTTTTGACCCACCTGTTTTTGGTGGATTCCTCTTGACCTTCATCCAGTCGAAAGTCTGAGCAGAGACGCCCTCTGATAAAGGTGAGCAGCAAGCCTCCAGATGAGCTGCATGCAGAGGTGACATTGGGTTTGAAGCCCCATGGTAAGGGGGTCCCTGCTCGTGTCCGCCTCCATAGGCGGAGTGGGTATACTGCAGCTGGCCCAGAGGGGTGGCACTGTAACCGTGGCGATGCTGAGAGACCATAGAAGAGGATAGGTTACCCGAAAAAATCAGTGGACCGCATTGAGGGAACGCAGCTCCAGAGTCAACTTCCTGGTTCAGCGTATAGTGGTTGTACGTGCCACAAAAACCTTGTGGCCCATAAGTTGAGCTGCAGGCCGTGTGGGCACCGTAGGAGATACCCAAAGTGTTTGCAGTAGACTGGTAAGACCCCGGCTGATGGGGGATGCTGTCAGGCGAGGTCCTGTTTGCCATAAAGTGCTCATCCACCCCGCAGCTGTTGACAGCAGACCCGCAGGACTGGAAAGTTGTAATCCCGTGGTCCGAGTGGAAAGCCCTGATGGAGCATGAACCACCTTCTCCGTTCATCACCGAGTAGTCTAAGAAACTGTTCATTGTGGCATTTTTCTCCGGGGGCCGATGAGCCGTCCTCTCCAACAAACACCCTCTAAATCCACCGTCACCCAAAGTGACCGTGCCAACATTTACCTATACTCTATCCTTATCAGTGTTGGGAGGAGGGGGGCGCGCACTGACCGATATCAATGAGCGGCTGCTGTCACGTGGCTTCAGGTCAACCAGTGAGGCACTTGTCCTTATCCCCTAAGCCGGTGACAGATTGGTGTTTGAGGGGCTATTTAAATTCCGAACGCTCGTCGATCAAGGTGACGCGCGTCGCCGCTAATGTATTGGCCGAGCAAACAATGAGCTGGGAGGCAGATAGATGTGGACAGTCCCGGGGTCGCATGCAGGGAGCAAGGCGGCTGTGAACAACCCCGTGCTGCTGCATTGGTGATGGAGAGAATAACATTTCATCCTCTGCTATCTCACCATCAGGAGGAAGGCCCTCGCTCTGACCTGCAGGTACCCAATTTTTGGATCAGTGTTTTTGTGTGCGTGTGTCCCACTCGGGTATAAAAACGACGATATCACATGAATAGCAGCGTCAGTCCTTCTTAGATAGATGGATGGACGGCCATGTAAGAGGGTGGGTGGGTGGGTGCGCATCACCGCTGCAGGGTATCTGCGGGCTATTAATGTCTCATTCCGATGCAAAATGTTTCACGCTTGAACATTATGGGATTTCACTCAGCAAATATTGTCACAGTGTGACAGTGAGGAAGAAGCAAGAAGATTTCCCTCCAATACAGATCAAACTATTGTTCTTTTTCTTTCTTCCTTTCTTTCTTTCTTTCTTTCTTTCTTTCTTTCTTTCTTTCTTTCTTTCTTTCTTTCTTTCTTTCTTTCTTTCTTTCTTTCTACTTCACACAGTTGCTACCGTTTTTTGTATATTTAACTGTTTACTTGTTGTGTATTCCCCTTAATGTAGCAAGGGCGGCTCCAAAACTTTTTCAGGCGGGTGCTCAAATGGGGGCCATTCATGATATTGGGTTTGGGATATGACACAAAAACTTCAAACCTTTAGAAATGTGCAAAATTTTATTTTGGTGACATTAAGGGGAGATAAATAGGAGACAGTGATCCACTGACAAGGACAAGAAAATGATTGAAATAAATAGTTAAATACATAAAAGTTGCCAGTCACAGTCTCTTCCCCTTAAACAATCAATGTGATTCAAGTAAAGAAGCCATTATAAATGAATAGGACTGGTTGGATAGGACAGGTGGAGGTAAATTTAGAGCACAAGCAAAACCACCCACCTACCCACTGTCTATGAACTATTCTTTCTCTTTAACAGCCTGATTAAATTCACATAATAAATTCCATTTTGATTTAAATGTCCCCTCCAAATCCTTTGAATTCTATTAAAGGGTAAGCTTGCACATAACATAGGTGAAATTTTGAAATTTTTATGTGCTTTGTAAAATTCCATTACTCTTCTAGTTTGTGATGGACATTCATTAATCGGTTTATTTATTTTAATTGGAACTTTATTTTAAATGTCACGTAAAGTACCAAAGTTTCAGTCTGACTCCGCCTTTGCAGAACCCCTCTGGGGTTGCCCGTCATGGGATCCCCTCAAAGCCCCTGTTCTCTACATGTTGTTTAACATCTTGAGATAAACATAAAAGATAAACATCTCATTATATTCATAAGATAATGCATAGCTATGTGAAACTCCAACTGAATCGGCATGCTGATATTTGACATCATGTTTGAGTTGTCATAGGTGATGAAGAGGCAAGAAAACACATTTACCATTAAGCTGATGGGGTATTAATTTTTTCATCTCTTGCAGGTCATAGGGTCTGCCATGTACTGTGATTCCACTCCCACATGTATTCATTACGCATGTATGGTGATCAGATGATATAATAATGAGAGAAGCTCTTAAAAGCGCCCGTGTAGCCTGAGGTGTGAATGTGGGCTGATTATCCTGTTAAGATCATCAAATAAAGCTGCTGGAGAAATGAATGGCCACAGAAAAGGAGCGGAGAGGGGCCAGGGAGAGGGGGAGGGGGGGTACTTGCAGCAGATGCATAACCTCTCACCGAGGAAGGAAAAGAAAAGCGAGGATCGCACGAGCGCCCCCAAAGGCCGGAGAAAGTTAAACACCCCAAATGAATTTTCCTAATACAGAGATCCTTCCAGCCACTGGACAGCCGATGACGTCATTTTCATGCTTCTTGCTGGCAGGTCCTTAACTTTCTTTACACCATAGGTTTAAATGCAGTCTTATCAGGCATGGTTTGCCCATTACATCACTTTTATAAACTTTTCTCACACATAATAATACATTTTAATTTTAAAACTATATTTATGACTCAAATTACCTTTAATTAGAACTTTTGTTATCTTTTCTTTTCTTCCTCCCACAATTTTCTTATTTTGTCTTAAATGAAATCAGGGCCAACTAATTGGATATTTCATTGAGATTGTTTTGAGTTGGATTAGGACACTGATTTAAAGATGTATAAACTTTAAAAATGAGATGCTTACCTTTCCCTCTCAAGTGGTTGGTTTTATTGGTAATAAGACCAATGATTCACCAAAGTAGTTTTTTTTTTTTTTTTTTACCAGATTTTCTTTTTAATTATTATCCAGTCAATCTGCTAAAAATTGGTTACTTTCTTGTTTAAGTATTTGAAAGTTGATTTAGATCAGAGAAATCTGGATTTTAATGTAAAAGAAAAAACTAACTTGTTAAAAACTTTCCACCAGTGTGTGTGTGTGTGGGTGTTTTGGGGGGTAGTGGCGGTGGTGGTTTGGGGCGGGGGGGTTCATTTCACCTCCACCCACACCACCCCTCCTCCCTTTTCTTTCTCCCCCAGCTGCCTCTGCAGTGAGTTGAGTGGGCGAAGGCTTCTGCCTCACTATGTTTGGTGGATAGAAACTTCACCACATGCAGAAACCTCGGAAGGCTTTTCATGGTTCTTTGTCTGAGCCACAGGAGCGCAGAAAAGGCGCGCTGTCTCGGAATGATTTGGTTAAAACAAGCACCGTGAGGAGGAAAAAAGTAGCAAATACTTTTTTCTAACCCCCTCCAATATAAACAAGCGTACACACAGAAAACTTTTCCCAATAGTGTTCACTAAGTCAACAAGCTGCTTAAAGCTTTCAGATTTCCCAATAAAAGTTCAAACTAATTTGCAAAGGTTAATATCGATCCATCGCAACTGTTGAGTTTTTTTTATTATCAGGTTAAAATTAAGTTTCATAGATCGAGTAAAAATCTATATCTTCAGGTCTAATGAAAATAATAGTTCAGGATTATTAATAATCGTTTCTTGAGTAGCAGGCTTTAAAGTGCAGCTGAAACAAACTTCTCCAGTGGCTTACAGTCCACAAAACACGCACACTTTCCTGTTAAACAAGCTTACATAATATCTACTTAAGACAGCTTTTCTTTGGAGTAAATGTGATAAATGTTCAATATTCCAAGAGAAGTCTGGCCTAAATTTCAGCGCAGCCTCTTAACCCTAAGCAAGCTGCTGCTGCTACTGCTACTGTTGTCTCAAAGCCATGAGCCGTGTTCAGACAAGCTATAAAAATGAATTATTACCCAACGCATGCAGAGACTCGGCCCCCTTTTAGTTTTAGGAGTCGGGGAGTCCCGTATGAAAACGTAAGTGGGTGTTTTTTATTATTTGTGCACATTACGCGACAATTGCTCCCCTTAACGTCCTTCTCTTTCATGCCATCGGGTTGATTTATGAGCTCCTGAAGGCAAACATGGCTCGGATTATTTGCCTGCAACTTGCACTCAGTGTTAACAGCCCTGTCCTGCTTAGATCTCTGTATGAAAATGTGCCTTTTATTATACTTAAAAAAAATAGTTTGGAAGTTGGAAATGCAAATATTGATATTATGATCCTATGCACTTGGAATTAATGTTGTAAAAAACATTAATAAAATCTGTAATATTTTGCTTTAAAAGTTTGCTATGTTTATTTTATTCTGTTTTACATTGTATTTTATATAATTAGTTTTTTTCTTTAAAATTTTATATATATACAATTAACATAGTTACTATGGAAGATTAAAAAAAAATGAAATTGTATTATTTATTCACGTTTTTAAACGCTTTCTATAATGCTTGTTTTATTCAAACAAGTGTTCCGTCTACAAACTAATATAAATAGATCATTTATATTCATTACCAACCTGTTGTTAATTTGCATAACCCCTAATTTTCGCTTGTTTAGATTTCGCTTACATAGAATTGAGAGAGGGTAAAAAAAAAACAGTTCAATCTGGAAATCGTGAAAAGAAGAGAGTCAAACACAAGCAGAAGGATTGTAGCAAGTTAGTGTATTCTAACAAAAATATTCAAGAAAACTATACAAAAATAAAAAACGACCCAGTTTCATATAGGTCTAACACTGTTGGATAATTCACACACACACACACACATAATTTCCATTTCAAGTGATCAAGTTGTTATGGTAATTAATCTACTTTAACCAGAGCTTGTACAGTGATTTAATTCCGTCCTTACCTTGTATTAATCGTCAAGTCAAATATCACGAGAGTAAATGTGCCGCACATACAAACAATAAGGATTAATGTCGTAGCCTTACTTCACACACACATTCTCTCACACACACAAACGGGGAGGGAAAGTTGTGAAGGATTTTCTTTTTCTCTGAGTTAATAGTTCAGATGCTGCAGATCGATTGTGGTTAGGGATTCCGAGAAAAAATAGAAAGTGTCCGCGGAAATGTCCACGGGGCTATCCAGAGACTCCGACAAGCTCGGCGAGGCTGTGTCCGAGAGCTGCAGGCAGGAATCCGAGGAGAAAGGCTGAAAATCGTGCAAAGAAACATCCAGGGCTGATGGGCTGTCGCTATTGTCCGGCCCAGATGCAGAGCCGGGGCCCATTGTTGACATGCAGCCCGGAACAGTGGGTGACGGGTTGGGAAAATGTTTCAGATTTTTGTCATAGCTGGCCGCCTCTCCGTTATTGTGCAGCTGCGGCTGCTGCTGCTGTGTGTTGTTCTGAAAGGAGCAGGTATCTCTCTCCAGGAGGGGCCCGCTTTGCTCGTACAGCAGGCCGCCCCCCTCTTCGTCCTCCTCGCTATGAATGCCGTCGTCGGCTCCAGGGCCCTTTGCGTCCCCACCACCGTGGTTCTCCTTGCTCTGGGTCTGACGCTTGTGCTTCATGCGCCGGTTCTGAAACCACACCTTGACCTGCCTCTCGGTCAGATCCAGCAAGGCCGCTATCTCCACCCGCCTCGGTCGGCATAAATACTTGTTGAAGTGGAACTCCTTCTCCAGCTCCAGCAGCTGCGTGTTGGTGTACGCGGTCCTCAGCCTGCGGGAGCCCCCTCCTCCACCGGCTCCCTCCACGATCTCAGGCGAGCCTGGAAAATAAACAGTAGAGGGATTATAGAAAAAAAAAAATAGGACACAACAATTGCATAACCCCAGTGCCAGTAAATCTAACGTTATGACTTTTACATTAAGCAAAATGGCCACTGAAGCTATTAACCTGCATATTTTACCTAAACATAATGTCTGTATTGATATAAAATTCCCATTTGACTTTTAACGCACAATATAACCGCCTGCAAGAGCGTGAAGCGCTCTAAAACAGTGAGGTCCATCCTGGTGTGGGAGTCTAATGAATGCTCCAGCTGCCCTCCTCGGCAAAGGCACTCCATCACTCTTCATTACTGTCACACATCAAAACTCTGCCTCGCCGAGGGGAATAAATCATCTTACATCACCAAACTTTACCCAAACTTTACTCCCATGCTTCACACTCACATTCACCCACCATAATAAAATTATACTGGAGTATTTTTGTTGTATTTATAGTCTTGTCCTAGAGGGGTATATGTGAGTGGCTCCAAATGCAGCAACAGATAGTGAAGGCATCGGTTAGGATTCACCCACCTTTCGGAGAGAAGCACACGGGTCCGTTGGAGATGGTGGTGGCGGTTGAAGCAGCAGTGGTGGAGTTGGGCAAGTGGTGGTTCCTCTTGGAGGCTTTCTTCTCCCGCATCCATGGGTACTCCGGGGGTAGGGAGGCGGTAGGCAGCGGGCTGCAGCCATCGGGGCTGTGTCTGGGCCGACCGTGCCGCGGATGGCTGCCCGGGTTCAGGCTGGGGATGGTCTGCTCGAAGGGAGGAGGAATCAGTGTCGGGCGTGAAAGCGTCGAGCTCTTGATTGATGAACTTTGAAATGAATCAGCGACAGGGGGGAAAGATGTCAGGCACTCAGCAAGCGACGGCTGACTATTGATAAAACCGCTCTCTCGCTCGAATTCGTAATTCATCTCCGCTCCCTGAGAGCCGAGGAAAGTTTGCAGCGCCGTATTTTTATAAACGTCGCGGCTCAGTGAGGACGATGAAGAAAAAAAATAAAAATAAATATATAAAAAAAATCCCCCGATGTGTTTTTTTTTTCTATTTCACTGATTATGGCCGTATGGGAACCGAGCTACCATTAAACTATAGAATTCATGGAGACAAGGTTGAAATTGGACCGAATTGCCTGTCACATGATTACCTCTGTCCAATGACAATTTGGGGCTTAATCAAAAGAAGCCACTCTCTGCCTGATTGATCCAAAAGGAAAAAAACAAACTAAAGTCCTCGCTCAGCTGGGCCATGCACGACTGTTTTTATTTACATCTCTGTCCGTTCAGCTCGTCCTCGCCTCGCTCCTCCAGTCCAGTCCACTAAGCCACAAAATGTGTTTTTTAAGAAGCGCCTGACGCTCTCTATTACAGGGAAGGAGACCAGCTCAGGGTGCGCGGATTCGTGCACTCCTCTTTCTCGTATTGTTTGAGGATGTCAGTCGAGAACGCCCCCACCACACACACACACATATATATGCAAAGACACACACACAGACACAAATTTCACCATTAGCTCTTCATATTTAAGTTTTGGAGTCGAAAAATAAATATAAACCCTAAAAAATGTTGACATCATGATGCATGTGAGCTCGTTTTGACCAATGCTACAGTTCTAACTGCATCAAACCCTCGATCCTCATTTAAAACTGAACAATTTGGCGTATTTAAAGCATTTATGGTTTAACAGCAACTAAATCTCCTCAGCTGCTTTCCCAAAATTCCAAAAAGAAAAGCAGCCAGCAATATCACCAAACATAGTTATGTTGAATTCTTATTAAAGAGCAGGAAATGTGGTTCAGGTAAGGGGCAAAGTTTGTCAGCTGAAAAATGAAAGGATATCATTGTCTCTATGATTTTTCTCTTGCTTTTAAGGAAAATTACAGTCAATTTTTGGTTAAAATGGTATTCCTTTCTACAAAGAAAACATTTGCTTAACAGACTTATGTTCTGTTACCCTACATCTAAACAAGCTTAAATATGAAAAACCTTTACCTAAAGATATCTGTCAGTATATGTTAGAGTTTGATTTTTCTCTTTTTTTCCTTTTCAAGTATCAGATCAGGACTGAATTGCTTCAATCTAGACATTGGGAACACGTGACTGACGTAATTATCCATGTCTATGCCTTTTCTTACACAAGGATACCATGGCGCTTAAAAACAGAACTATGTTCTTAACATGGTTAGAATGGTCATCCTTTTAGTCCCAGAATATTATTAAATCACAGACGTTTAAAATCCACTAGCTTCTTAAAAACAAGTAAAGGAAGTGAAGTGAAAGTTCAATTGTAATGCAAATATGTCTGCTCCACGTTGGATAATTTGGAAACGGGTAAAATTCTAGATAGCCATAAAAGACAACTTCCATCTAAACAATCTAATAATTTAACCCCAAAAAAGGAGGGGAGAAGTTAACAGAATGCCCTTAATAGTATTTTTAAACTGGTTTAAAAGGTTAAGCAATTTTAAAAGACGCGTTTTTCATGACTAGACAAAAAAAATCTAAAGAATATTGACAATTTATTAGCAAAAAAGACGGAAAAAACGTCCAGGTTTAAATGTGGTTGAAAGGTATTTAGGAGTGATCTCATTACCTAACCAAGACTCACTTATTGTAAATTTGGAAGAGACCTAATGGCAAAATAAATGTCCAATTCCAGATGTGTTTTCATGGCTAAGACAAAAACAAAACTGACCAGCCTTAATTGACTCTAATCAGACGTCTGTGGATGTCTTAGTGTTTAGATCCATGTAACAGTATAGCATCAAGGCACATTTTTGTTTATTCCAATATAACATTGAGCTCATAAACACATGATGAAACGCAGTCTCTTTTTGATGACTCAAAACAGCCATGATTACTGCATTCCTTTAAAAGGAGCTTTGGAAATAGTCTTGTTTTCATGTCAGGAGCGTGAAGCCACAAGGCTATATAAAGCAAGGATTTATTGGAAGGACATTGCCACACTGCTGGGAGGAGGGAATGGGCATCGCACTGTATTTCTATTATCCTTCCTACCTGAAATGGTCATGGAGCAAATATAAACACGGTTACAATCGACCTTTTACAACGAAATCTATTTGCAAGCGTTATTATGCTGATGGGAATGCTATCGAGCTGCTCTCTCCCCCATTCGTGTTTTGTTTCATATGGCTTGTCTAGAAGATTCTGTAAAACGCTTCCCCTTCCTTTGACTTGTTATATTCTCGTTCACAAAAAAAAATATGTATATGGTTGTATTTTTATTAAGGAAGAAGAGGAGAGGAAGAGAAAAAGTGGAAGGCCTCTCTCTCAGTTTGTTGCTTATATACCAAACAAAGAGTCCTGGAAGCCTGTGCGCGATCAATCTTACTCGCCAAAAGGTCTGACAGCTCGGTGCCCTCACAACACATTTAAGGCTTCTAACTCTCCCCCGGATCAAATGCAGCCAGGAAGCGTCGAGAAACAGTGGTCACTCAGATTAGAACCAGTTTCTGCTCGCACTGCTAGTCTGTTTGTCGCTGGAGGGATTTTTTTTTTCCTTAGGAACAAGAATAAAAAGAGGAATCTGGTCACACAAGATGCGACCATTTCCTCTCTGAGAGCCATCGGTGAGTAAGTGGTGAAGCTGGCTTCCCCACCTGGCTTTTATCTTTGAGTTAAACATTTTTTAATGTATTTTTATTTTTTTTTTTTGTTTTTTTTAATGCTCCAATTTTTGCAAGTGGACAAGTAGGGAGTTGCTAAGAGAAGAGACGAATGGCTATTTTGGAATTACGCACAGGCTTTGTTTCCAAGACAGGGAGTGGGTGGCGGCATTTAGGGGAGCCCAGTGCGTCCTCTGCACTTATCTTTACAGCAGCAGTGATTTAGGGAGTAGTTTCCCACGAATGCTAAGAGAAACACTCCATACACTCAATTTTGAGTTTAAAAGCAATGTATTTGTTTTCTACCTGTATGGCGCATGTGGGTCAAATCGGTGTCCTGCAGAGTACGCGTGTGCATGTGTGTTTCTGTGTCTGATGTAGAAATACTCAAAACGTTGGCCTTTTTTTCCCCCATGCCACACCATGCTTCAATTGTTCTAGGTTTCCCTGCTAACCATATGTCATCGCTGGTAATGTTCGTGCCCTCTGATATCAATCATGTGTAGCTCAAAATGGGAGCAGAAAGAAAACGGGAGAATAAATAAGTTAGTTGTAAAACATAATTAAACAAAATCTATCAGAGGCTTGTTTTGGAGAAATATCTTTACGCACGGATTTATTGGATGGCCTGTTCCACTTGAAATTCAACACTGGGAATTTCAGCTTGCTTTTTTTATTAGCTAAAAAAAATAAACGATAGGTTGCAGCTTTCAAAAAGCAAAACATTACTAATTTATTTTTGCATTGGAAATAAAAAATAAAAAAGAAAGAAAATGTTATAGGCCGTCTGTGTTCCTCTGCTGCCGGCTTTGGTCGATATCATGGAGCAAAATCTACACATTTCAGGGAATGATTGAACAAATAATGCCCATTATTGCATTTTAAACCGCGTCCTTTCTGCACGGCGTTTGACTGACTATACACATAGGCGGATTATTTCTAAATGATTTCTCATTTGGCTTGTTGTCTCCTTGCAGAACCCTCCACGAAGACCCGGTTGACATTTTTATTATTATGGATGTGCCCACGCAGATGAGAGAGACGCGCTGGGGGAAAAAAAGAGGGAGCCCACCCCCGAGAATGAGAGTAAATAGATCAAATGTTTGGTATTTTAGCTGTAAGTTGTTCTTGTTTATTGAATAAAAACGTTTCACTATTTTAACGTGTTTTATTGTTAAATCAATTGATAGCATGCAGTGTTTATATTAATTTTTTTGCATTTAAAAAAAAAATCCATCAGTAAGATGCTATTTTTCATTTTGTTTTATAAGTTGATGACTCCTTTTTATTATTTTTGTTTTGGTTAAGTTAGAACTAACGGTACATTGTATCGTAAATGTATAACTATGTCTGTGGCTTTTAAAATTAAAACTGATAGATCTGATTTTTACTTCAATTCTTTTATTCATTTCTTCGAACTGGAGCAGCATGGAATGTTTGACATCTAGAAGAAGAAAAAAAAATATGATTTGTTTTTGCCTTTTATTCAATAAAGAAATTAAAAACGTGTGTCCTTCTTTCCACCCTTTTTCCGTGACTGATTGACTTCTTTTTTTCATTCTCTTACAAAGAAAAAAAAACACCTCCTCAAATGATCATAATAATACTTAGAAAAAAAATTGAAACATTTAGCCTGCAATCTAGTGACATGGCTGAAATTATATGGCGAACATGGCGCTAATTTTTCTCCAACCTTCTCCCCCATGAAGACAAAGATGGGAGGGTGTCAAATAATACTATTGGAGTCTAAATAAATAACATTTAAGAAGTCCAATGGAACAAAACAAAAGGAAAAAGGGGGGCTGTGCAAGCCCATGACCCTCTGTTTTTTTTTTTTTTTCTTTCTAAAATGTAATCTCCTCACATTACCAGCTCCTGGCTCTTAAGGTTCTTTTTGTACACAAGTGCAAAAATAGCTAACCATACTTCTTCAATTGCGGATAAATAAGGACAGACAGCTTCACATTGAAAATGAATAACATGTGTTCATAATACCCTGTTTGAGATTTTGAAAAAAATAAAATACGTTTCCAAAAGGAAAAGATTAAATAAGCCTATGCATATGCTATGCTGTTGCCCTTCTTGTCTCCCTTCGTTCGGCGCTATAGACACTCTATATTACATAAAGGTCTTTGTGAGACAATGACACAAGCAAATAGAGGAAAATTCAAGCAAGTCGTGGTTATTTATCCTACGCTACTTCACACATCAAACTATAGAGAACACAAACAAACAAAATAAAAGGCAAAAGGAGAAGGTGGGAGCCGTGAGGAGGCTCAGAAACAAAGCAGGGAGGGGGGGGGGCATATGTCTGGAGGTGGATGAGACAATGGGGCGGAGTGATCCAGGCTTGCGCCGCATGCTACAGATGCGTCAGTTTGGGCGCTTCCTGGATTCTTCCCTGAGAATAGTGCGGCGTTAAGTCTGTATATGTCGGCGTCGCATCGCATACTCCGTGATGCTGACCGCCGTTGTTGCCCATTGTGATCGCACCGTTGTACTCCATGCTCCCAGACGGAGGTGGAGGGTGAGGGAGGTGGGTGAGGCCGAAAACCGAGGCCCCAGAGCTGGGCACAGAGTCGATGTAGCCTCCGCCGACATAGACGGGGCTGCCCTGCATGTGCGCGCCGTAGTTGCCGTTTCCGTGCAGTGGGTGGTGCGCTTCATACTCGGGCGTGGCCGAGTCCGTCCCAGGGTACCTCTTCTGGGGGGGTGGGCAGCTGTTGAGAGAGTTGCTCAGAGGTGGGGGATATGACGTAGCCATACCATAGGCATTTTGATGAGTTTTATTGTAAGAGGTTGGAGACTGTGACTCGTATTGTACACTGTTAACGAGAGAATGCATAGAGTTGAGGTATCCGCTCCCTCCACCACCACCCCCACCGGATGGAGGACCGACTGGGCTGCGCGGAGACTGTCCACCGGGAGACGGCATCATCCCGACGCCCTTTTGATCCTTTTTGTACTTCATCCGTCGGTTCTGGAACCAGATTTTAATCTGTCTTTCCGTGAGGTTGAGCAGGTTGGCCATCTCCACCCTCCTGGGCCTGCACAGGTACCGGTTGAAGTGGAACTCCTTCTCCAGCTCCACGAGCTGCGCACTGGTGTAAGCTGTCCGGGCCCTCTTTGATGCTGCTGACCCCGGAGGACTCTTGTCTCCGGGGCAACTCTCCACTGTCAGGGAGAAGGAGAAGGGAGCGTCAATCAGTAATCCATTACAGACACATAGAGAGGAGTACAGAGGCAAGACACAGGAGAGTAAGAGTGAGAGCAGAAATGGTTGACAACACACTGATAGTAAAACCCTGCAATCAGGAGGGGGGTGGTGGTGGAGACAGAGCTCTTTAGTAGATAAATATGCCAATTAAAGTACAGTTTTAATCTCCTACGATCTGCAGCAAACATCTGAACCTTTTGATAAATCTACCCCCAACATAGGGGTTATCATCTGGGGACCATGAGACAATTAACAATTAATGTTCCTACATTCATATGCACTGACCAGAAATGCAACTGCAAACTGGGTCACTATCTGATACGTAACCCTGGTTTCCTATACTAAAACATTTGACCCTCATCCTGCCCCCAAAGTCACACAGCATAACAGGCACATAATGCAAGCACAAGCAGTTATAGATTCCTCATGGTGTATAAAACTGCTTATTTAGCCTTCACTGATAAGCTTGAAGACGCTGGAGTTTGCCTGCAGAAATCCTAAGGTCATATCCACTTGCAGTGGCAGCCGGCCAACACTTAATAAATTTCACTACCTGTCTCCTAAACCTGAAGTAGGAGGAATGCAACATGACATAACCCGAGGCATAATGATATTGCAGAAATGAAAGAGGAGTCTGCACATGGGGAAGAAAGAATGGCTAAGCCCAGTCAGCATGTGTATGTGTGCTCCATAAAGGTTTAGCTCAGCCTGGATGGGATCTAGATGGTCCTGGACTTAATATTAACTATGTGAGACCGACTTTGGTGGAATAAATTCAAAACAACTCAATCACAATTTCCTACCTGGGTCTCAACTAGACTTAGAGAAAATCATTTCCATTTTAGCAGCAAATATAAAACCCATAAATCCAATAAACATGAGGTCAATATGATCCATTGTAGTCCAGCTAATTTCCCAAACTTATGGGTCCCATATGTAAGATATTAGTTATGGATTTAAAAAAGTTCAGAATTGTTTTTAAAATACTGACTTTAAGCAATTAATTAATTTCTATAGACTATAGCACAGAAAAAAATGCATCCCAGAATAAGGGCAGACTTTAGAAGGGCTTGGCTCTATGGGCTGGCTCTGGTTTTCATGTCCTACCAGCATAACTTTGTTTTGTAAGCCTACAAAGTGCAGTAAAACTGTTATAGCTCCTCATTTACTTTTTTAGAAAGGCTTTTCCAGAGCAATTATTGTTGTTTTTTTTATTCTTTCTAAAAGGTTCCTTCTTTATCATTTTTTTTTCTTTTGTAGTCAAGAGGAATACTTATCCCATATGTTATTGTAGTTATGGAGGCTTTCTCTTTGGGAATGTAAAATCCAGTTACCAAAATACCTCAGAAACCAGCAGTAAGGGTTAGAGTGCATGGGTTAAGACTTGATGGTAGGCCTACTGTAAGGTGCTTGAGGATTTGAGTGCATCTCCGTTGTACTTAAAAATCTGCTTTTTCTGAGTTCTAATAAAACAAAACCCCACATGAAGTCACCTTTTTAATTTAAGGTTACAGATTTGTCATCCTTTTTGTTTTTGTTTTGTAAACACAGTCAGTCGATCACCCTTTTATTTTTTTAAATATAATAACACAGAAATGTTATTGTTTGTACTTCTTATTTACCACCCACATTGTTACTAAAATCCCAATCATTTTCAGGTTTGCATTTCGAAAACACTTTATACAGGGTGAGCTCATTCCAAGAACTAACTGAGACGAACCAAAAAGTCCCATGAAATTTTAGTTTGGGCATTGATGTTGTTGATTTTCAAATGGATTTGTATTGGATGCCTACAAAAATATCCAACAAGTTGAAGCCATCGCCTAAACATTAGTTTAAATTAGTTAATAATTAAGATATAATGTTACCACACATACAGAACTTTAATAAAACAGGAAATTTGGAGGGGGCACAAAATGTTGCAGTCAAAGGATAAGTCCATCCCAGCCTTTTAAGCAATCTGTTATAACTTAGAGGGGGTTAAACGTAACAGACAGGCTCCTTAATGTGTAACAGAGCATTTTGAAAACACAATCATTTTAGATTTTCCTCTGCTTTCATAGGCCACTGCAACTCAGTGCATAATTTTCCTCAATTAATCTACAACATTTTTAAGGACCCTCAGAACCTTGCGCAAAATATGTTTTAGACAACTTTATTAAATGCCTTGTGTGTATGTTTAAAAAATTACTAGCTATATCATATCGGCTTTGTAATTATACCTGATGAAATGTTTAGTTCGGTTTGTCAAGGATTTAAATGCTAGCCAGGCCCTTGTAGCTGTTCTTGTGCACAATCTGCATAAATAGAAACATTGTCAATGTCTGATGTACAGTACATTTTCAAATACACATAATTTTTTGAGTTTCTTTAGACCATCTGTTTCTTCATTTATGCACTTGAAATTTCAGATTTAGTCAATGCAAATACAGCCGTTGAAACACGATGCTGACGCTTCTAATTCCTTTTTTTCTGTGCAAACTGTTTATTAAAGGCAAACTATTTAATGTCCTGTAAATGTTTCACAAGTATGAAACCTAATTCTTATAATTAATTCTATTGAAAATTGAATATGTCTCAAAGTAAAAAGCATTTAAAATACTGATCATTTCATTATGGTGGTAAATATACAAAAAATATTATCCATGAGTTGGGAGAGAGGGATGTTGCTATGTATTTTATTTATAAGGACAAATACCTCATAATTTCCTGCAGAATACAAGAAACAGTGTTTGCAGTGGAGAAAAGAAGAAAATCTTAAATTTTTAAAGATTTTATTCAACCAAAGGGTGAGACTTAAAAATATTAATCATTATGTTATGTTTGTTTGAGAGCTTCCTTATCTATAAAACATTTGAAATGGTGAAAGGTGAAAAGGTTCAAATATGTTTTTATGTATGTATTTTTAAATCAACTCCCTAACCTGATAAACTCCATGCACAGTTTCAGCAGATCTTATCAGAAACCTCCCTCCATATGCAAACCCTGTGCTGAAGCTTAAAAATTTAGCCTATAACTGCCCGTGTTTCTGATTGTTAAAAGAAACTACAACCCAATTTAAAATACCAGCCACAAAATGTACAGCAGGTCATGGGAAGATGAGTGTTGCTAAAGTTTTAGGTTGTCTCTGTGTAAATACAACCCCTCCTTTGGCCTGCCCTTAAACCCCCCCAAAAACACTGACCCACTGAGTTTCCCCTCTAATCAAAACAGCAGGACAAACTGAAACAACTGTTGTGTGTGTTTGTTTGCTGTCTCTCTGGGGACATTATGTGATCAGTAGAGATGTGTGTTTACAGTAGGGACAGGTCAGCTGGAGGGCATGGGGACAACAAAAGAAGGGATCTGCTGCTTTCCCTCCACCAATCCACTGCCTGCATTCAAGATGTATGATGTTGGAGCATTAGTAACATAAATAAAAACCCTACTAGATTTGCAAGATGGGGCTATAATGTTGTATAATACAACAAACGGTTCACCTTACACTCCCCCTGCTTGGAATATTAAACAATATGACCTTCCCATACAGGCACCAAACTGGCTCTGTTGTGTTTTGGCCCTTTCTATGCACCACCTTACCTGCCCACCAATCCACACCCCCCTGTGTTTGATGTAACTATCAGACTGTGTGTCAGCAGCAGCTGTACCTGAACTGGAGCTGCTGGCAGGTTTCTGTTTGGTGTTCTGACGGGACTCCTTCATCCAAGGGAAGATCTGCTTGTTGCGAGTAGTAGAAGTCGGGGAGCCGTTCTTGGCTGCACTGGGCTGGACGGACCCGTTGCTTGCATCTTGGCTGACTCCACTTGGGGACTGTGAGGGGGGAGGGGGTGGGCCTGACACCGGCGCTTGATGATTGCTTTCGGGGAGAACCTTGGCCTGCGCTGCCTGAATGGCCCTGTCGCAGCCCTCCGCCACCATCTCCCCCGGCTTCTGCAGAGCCACTGAGCCGCCACCGGGAGACTGCAGGGAGCAGGCGGGTCGATGGTACTCGCTTTCCACATGAGAAGCCCTGGGATATTGGACCTGATTGGCATCATAACCGAAACCATTTGCGCTTTGATACGGGTAGCCACTGTAAATTGCGGAGCTGTCGTAGTAGGTCGCCTTTTGCATCTCGCCGTTTCCCAATATTTATTTCAGAAACTGACAGGGTCTTGACACCCTCGTAGAATAACATTGGCACCCCGTGGTCACGTGACGCCTCTCCGCCAATGGCCTCCTTGGGTGAACCTAGGGTTACAAGAAGCACTGTGAGGAGGAGAAATGGTGGCGATCCATCTTACTTTTCAATACAGACCTGACACTGGAGACTGTGGAGGCAGATAGGGCCAACAGTTCTGTGGTCTATTACCGTTTACCTTATGGCTTACACAAAAGCGCACCCTAGCCTTGTATTACCATCTGCGCCAAGCAGCATAAAACGTTTTCAAAATGAATTCAAATCATTTTAAAAAAGCTTAACAAGAAAGTATGATGACGGCTTAAAACCCCGAGACAGTAGGGAGAAGAAGGAATATAGTTACAGTAGAGTTTATGGGGAGAGAGCCTGCTGTGGAAACGGCTTGTTAGCGGGCTGCCACACAGGAAAATAATGTTTCTGTTACAATATTATTCTACCAACCGGGCTGTCAACAGCGTATCTAATTTCCTCTAGCAGGTAAAAACTCTCTGTGTGGCTCCAAAAGGAAGGAAAAAAAAATTCTTTTTGTCATTTTTTAAATATTCCTCTCAGCTAAAAAAAAAAAAAACAAACAAACAAAAAAAAAAACTAATAGAAAAGGCGTTTAGCAGAAGAACATTACATATAGATATATATAAAAAAGTATACTATATGTCTTTCCGCTCGAATATCTTCTTCACATTAAAGAATTGGCTCAGATGAAAACCTGAAAAACCAGGCGGGCTTCTCTGCAGCTCTATAACCGAGGTGTTATTTCCTCACAGGGCTCATAATAATGGCTGCTTCTGCCGGATCCGTCGTTGTGATCTATGAAGGGCCGGGAGCGCTTGGCCCGGTGTCCTGGGAGGAACACCGGCCTGGGTAATAATAAAGGTTTAACGGCGGGGGAGACAAATGGAACTATTCCCCAAAATAAGCTGATTATTTACAAACCATCTGACGGAAATGTTTTATAGCGCTGCAATGAAATAAAATGTTATAGATATGTAATAATAATAAAAGCAATGTAAAAAAAATGCATTGAAGCACTTCCATCTTATTAATTAGTTTAAAGAAATCTTAAAACCCAAATGCATTCAGAGCGATTCTATCAAAAAGGCCAACTTATATATCTCATTATATTTTTGCTGTTGTTCATGTAGTTTATTTTTTATTTCTATGTGATTGCAAACTTTTCTATAATGATTATATCATTCAGATAAAATATTCAGATCCCAATCTTATTGATCTAAAGTAGGCAGTAGTGTGGAAAACATTTTCTAAACATGAGCATAAAATGAAAATAAAAACATGAACCTCTGACTCCTGCAGCCATGCATACCAAAAGGCAAATCAGTCCAAAACGAGCCCCAAATATTTGCTTTCAACGCAGCCTAGCTGCAGACTGAAAGAAGCTCTCTAATGACCGGTAAAAGATAAGAGGAGGCTTCTCCTCTCTGGATCTCCCTGCGAACCATTGCGACAGTCATAAATGGCAGAGAAAAGAGAGACAAAAGGCAGACTTGAGCTATGCTGCTGCAGGAAAAAATCCGTCCGCCTAACTCTGTGTGCGTGTGAACTCTTCCTGAACCGAGATCTGAAGTCTTACGGTGATAAATCACCGCCGCGACACACAAACTCCACCATTTACAACCGAAAGGGGAGCCTATTTCTGGCCCCTGCTTACCTTATCCTCTTACGATGAATGCAGAGCGCCGGGCAATATTTTCTCATTCAGCGACGAAATCGATCAAAGGCAGTAATCCAGAGGAAGAAGAAAAAAAGTTTTAAAGGCAGCCGGGCTGACTGGGTTGAAGGAGCAGCGGCTGACTGCGCCCTGCCATGCAAACAGGCATTAGCAGGCACAACACGCAGGGAAAAAAAAGGGAAGAGCCAAGAGAAGACCCCCTTTTTCCTTTTTCTCTTCTTACTCGCCGAGATTGCGAAAGCAGGCGTGAGCAGTCGGGTCAGCGCGATAAGAAGAGTTATCTGCTCCCATGCTTGCAGGGTAATGGACAGGGCTTCATGGCAATATTAACGTCAGCTAAGGCTATGCTTGACTATGAGATCCTTCAGCAGTTACCATGCAGACACCAGTGAACTGCCCCGAATCAGAGCGTCACCGTAGACAAGAAAAATTATGCAAATGAAGCAAGCGCCTTGGAAAGCCAGTCCAAATCAAGTAGTTGCCTCTCCTCCTCCTCCCCCAACAACCCAAATGAGGTAGTCCTTCTAGAAAATAATAACCTTAATAATGCCTGGTTTACAATACACCATCCCAAAAGATGTTTAAAATAATTTTCTTATAATTTACCCCGCATCCAAGAGAGAAGCTATGAACCTAAGGAGATTTTTGGGCTAACAAAGGAATAAATAGAGACTGAGAGTGCTGCATTTCCATATCCATGGGAGATAAAGAGCTTCTGCGGGCGGCTTAATCATTAACCTGCGTTTTTGCACAAAATGCGCTGTTTTAGCGCTCAGCCGCAAAGGTCCTTTCCATTTTCACAATGAGCCCTTTTCCTAGGAAGTAATAGTGCAGTACTGTGCACATTCTGATCAAAGCTGATAAATATTAGAAGGGAACCCCCCACAGCAGCAGGAGCATGGGGATGAGAAATGGGTAGAGGTTTCATCACCCAAAAGGCCAAAGCGGGAGGACACGCAGCGTGGAGGACAGAAGAAGGGAGACGGGGAATTCCTTCTGCATGGTAATGTTTGCAGCCAGAATGAAAGACTTGATAGAATTAGATTTATGACTCTCCTCTCAGCTGTAAACACGGCCAGCAGCTAAAGCCTCTCTGCTGGTTTCAGGCTGTGGGACAGAAACACTTCTGACACAACGAGAAAAAGGTAGAGAGCGCACTCACGGACGGCGTGGGAGTCTTGAGTGGGAGAAAAAATTCACACATGAGGATTTTTTTTTTTAGCTAACGTGGCTTTTTTCTTTCACAAAGCAACTGCTACTACTTTGTATAATTATTTACTTCTTTGTCCTGTGCTAAAACGCTGATTTTGTCTTTTTTTTTAACATTTAGCCTGGAGCTGAGGGTTAAAAGGGCGCGCGTAAAAAGGACCTAAAAGCAACGTGGGAAGGCAGGAAGAAAAAAAACTTACAATTTTCAATAAAATAAAAAGCTTAACCTCGTGGCAGCGGGCTTTAGTAGCTTCAAACAGATGGCTTTTGCAGAAAGTAGTTTTTTGAAACGAGTAAGGCAGCGCTCCAAGAGCCGCGATTCCCCTCCGTCACTTTTATGGTGACAAATTACACCACAAAGACAAGTGGAAGAGAAGGAAATATTGCTCTCGGGTTGGTCATATTGCTGCTACACGGAAATATACAACAAGCTATACACAGGCTGCTGCTTCTTCGGCCTTGTGAGCGCACTGGGAAGCCTTGCGTGCGTGTGGTACTTATTAGAAATTGAATAAGGATATCACCATCAAGCATTCATAACATAAATCAATAAAGATATATGGACTTACCAAAGGCAGCTCAGGGTGTTTCCGAGACTGCGTCTGAAGCTACTCGGCCGGATTTCTGCAACGAGAAAATACACACATATATTTTCCGTTTTTGTTCACTTTTAAAGCATAATTTTCAAAATTTCTTAAACTGTGATTATTTATTTAATTTTCTAATTCATTGAAATTTGGAATGATGCCTTTTTTCTTCTTTAAAACAGATCATTTTATTTTTCCTCCTATTTGCTCTTTTCAAGCAAAACGTATTTATCTTTAGTCTAATCAGGTTAATTTAGAATTTTTTTAAATTATTATTTTCACTTTAAATGTATCTATAATTTTAAAGATAATTTATTGCGATTTTGTCTTTATTGTATTTATTTGTTTAGTTGTTCCTTATGCGTAATGTAACTTTTTTGGTTAAAACAGGTCAACCAAAGTCTGAGTTTTATATATTTTAGAATATTTTCAGAATAAAATAACGAATTTAAAGAAAGAAAATATACATGCCCGAGGAAAATTACCTTTGTTTAATGGCTTTTCTTATAATTTCATGCAAACTTTTTTAGAGATTCTTTTTTTTATTATTTGTTTTTTTTTTTTTTTTTTTTTGTAGCTTGTCAGATTGAAATACTTTGTTGAACTGAATTAAAATAAATGTTGCAACACCCCAATAGATATGCATAAACAGAAACATATATGAATATATCTACAATATCTTAACCTGGTAAT